AACCATAGGTTACCACACATTACCATATGGTAACAAACTAAAACACAGAAGAACTTATGGTTTTTTGCTATTTTACAACATGAAACCATAGGTTACCACACATTACCATATGGTAACAAACTAAAGCACAGCAGGACTTATTGTTTTTTTGCTATTTTACAACATGAAACCATAGCTTACCACACATTACCATATGGTAACAAACTAAAACACAGCAGCACTTATGGTTTTTTTGCTTTTTTACAACATGAAACCATAGCTTACCACACATTACCATATGGTAACAAAGCAAAACATAGTTTTTTGCTTTTTTATAACGTGCAATCATAGTTTACCACGCCATACCATGTGGTAACGAAGCAAAACACAACAGATTCTACACCAGTTCAGCAATGCATGCTAACGATTCGGTAATGTAGCAAGTTTTACTACAATTTTCACATGAAGAGTGACTGAAATACTGTTTCTATTGTTCTATGGATGGATTTCGAAGAAAGAAGTGAGGTTTTACCTTGATATTTTGTGCGAAAACGATTTTTGAGACTCGTTGAAGTTGGAAACCCTTCGTTTTTCGACGAAGGGTTTCGTTGAATGATTCTTCGAAAAGCTTTGCGAAAATCGTTCGATTTGAAGTTTTTTCTGGAAGTTTTTGCTGCGATTTTGGTGAGAGAATAGAGGAACGGGAGGAAGAATGGAGAGAAGGCGGGACGGTTGTCGCGGTCACGTCTGCAATTCAAATTGTCAGAAGGAGAGAAGGCGTGATTACATTTTTGCCCCCGCGTGTATTTAATTGCCATGATCTGACGGTTGGGAAGATGGCGCGATGGACGGTCAGATGGACGGTTACTGACCGTTACTGATAGGTCGGTTACTGATAGGATCCGGACCCGAGCATGGGAGCAGGAACGCAGAGGCAGAAAAGGAAATGGAGGAGAGAGAAGCGGAAAGGTTTACTTTTTATTTTATTACAAAGGCATAAACTTTTCAATTACTTGTGGCAAAAGCCAAGGGTTACAGGAGAGGGGCAACAACATCAAGGATTTGAATCCATTCATTAGGGAGCTGTTTCTTAGCAAAGATCTAGCTACCTAGTTCGCTTTGGAGTTCCTTTTCATGTTAATGTAGTCGATCTTGATCATTGGATGAGACGCGGTCAAATTCTTGATGCGACCAAGCCATGCTCCTACCCGCCATGGCCAGCTATCAAACGACTCTCAAAGAGCCTTCACCAAGGAGAGGCAGTCTGTCAAATACCATTAGAAATAGTTAAAATAAAATCTAATCGATCATCAATACATCAAAACCAAAGAAAGATAAATGGAACACAATCATAAGGAATAAAACATATTCCAGTAATTGAAAAAACATTTAGAATGAAAAGAGACGGAAAGTAACTAAGTAATAAATGAAATATAAAAGCTACAACATTCAGTAAAAAATGTAGAAAATAAAATATGATTATAGAAAGAGAATTAGAATTACTAAATTTAACTAATATGAAGCATCTACATATAATATTAGAGATTTAAAAGTTGATTTAACTTGGAAAATTAGACAACATCACCATGATGTAAGAGAACTAAATATAATATTCTCAAATTATTTATATCGAGATAGAATTCATAAGATATATTTGCTTCAGAAAGTTATTCAATTATAAGAAAACATAATAATAATTGAAAATACTTATAATGGTAATTGATTCTAAATTTTCTAGACCTAGCAATCGGGTCAGGTTTGGTAATTTCGGGTTGGGAATAAAGAAATGTCGGACATCTGATATTCAATTTTATTTAGGAACTTCACTGAAAGCTGGGGAAAGGAATCTCGAGTTACGGGTCTTCACGGGTCGGGTCATGATGGGTTTGCTGATTTCGGGTCAAATATTCACCCAACCTATCGGGTTTCGGGTCATTTCTGGTCATGAGTGTTCTCAGAAACAATATCAAACATGCTTCATATATTTTTAAAGAACACAAATTTTTACATACGTGCGACAATAGTTTGCCTAGCACATGTCAATTAACAAATGCTCAACCCCTTCCATGCTAATGAAAAGAAATACAAATTGCACAAATTGTAAAAAAAATAATGACGAAAGTAATACTACTGCAATGAACAAATGATGTTTGATTATCTTTGGCTAAATTGCAACTTTGGTCACTTGAATTACTAGTAAATTTCACGTTAGCCACTAGAATTACTTTATTTCATCCGTAGTCACTTAAATTAGATTAACAGTTCAAGTTTGGTCACTGACCGATAGTTTCCGTTAACTTTTGCTGATGTGGCGGTCAACTCTTATAGTTGACCGTTAAATGAGAGACGTGGCAATTAAAAATAATAATAAATAATACAATTTAATTTTTTTAATGATTTCCAGGAACAAGCCCCACCGCGTTGGAATTAGAACTCCAGCTGGACAAAACTTTGTTGGGATCAGAATCATTAGAGCTCTGCTTGAAAGTCAACAGGCAAGAAACATCATCGGAATGGTGGCGGGATGAGCAGCAGTAGGTAGATAAAGAAAAGGAAATCGACAACTCTATTACTGACTCCACCATCTTCTTCCTCCCTCCTTCATCCTTTTCTCCCCCTGTCTTTCTATGCACAATCAAAATGACTTCTTTCTGCATAAACACAAAGCTCCCACCTTTTTTCTTCATCCCTATTTCTTCTTGGGTCCACTTTCAATCTCCACCCACAAGAGAACAAAACCAAACAAAAAAAAAAAAATCCATATTAATCATCTGGGTCGTCATGATTTGCCGAGTATTATAATGGGGTAAAAATGATAATAATCTTTTCCGGCTGCTGCTAATCTGTTCCCCTCCTTGTTTCCTTGCTCTTGTTTTAATTTCCAAAGCATCTTTCTTTCTTTCCATCAACAACTAGATCTGCCGAGCAATTCACTTTCTCCGAGCTCGCAGCCGCCACCATGGGTTCGCAGCGGAGAACAAGATCGACGCTTCCGATCATGCACAGGGACATTAAATTGTCAAATATTCTCCTTGACAGGAACTGGGTGGCCAGGGTGTCGGATTATGGGTTGTCGCTACTAGGACTCGGCCTGGACATGGACTACCCTGACGAAGGCGGCCGACACGGTGGGGCACATTGATCCGGAAAGAGGGCGATATTTAAGGGCGACGACGGGGAAGGGACGCCAACGAGTGGAGTACGTAGCTAGGGTTGACATTTTTTTAATTATTTTTTAATTTAGTATTGAGGTGGAAATTATTAAAAATTATTTTATTATTTTTTAATTGACAAGTCACTCATTTAACGGTCACCTATAAGAGTAGATCGCCACATCCGCAAAAGTTAACGGAGACTAACGGCCACTGACCAAACTTGAACTGTTAACCTAATTTAAGTGACTATGGATGGAATAAATTAATTCTAGTGGCTAATGTGAATTTTGCTAGTAATTCAAGTGACCAAACTTGCAATTTAGCCTATTATCTTTACACTCCAAACTTGTCTTTCAAATACTAATAATTGTTTTTAAACATCTCACCAAAGTATGAGTGATTTTATCATTTGAGAGTGACATAGGCAATGAAACGGGTCTAGCGGGTTGACCCACAAACCAACCCAACCGAGCCCAAAAACTACGGGTTAATCGGGTTCGGGTTATTATAGTTTCGGGTTATTAAAACGTCAACCCATTCTCTATTTTTCGGGCGGGTTCGGGTCGGATCAACGGGTCGGGTTCTCATTTGCCATGTCTAAAATTTTTTATTGAAAAATTGATTTGCTATCAAGTATTCAAAAAAGGATTCCAATTAAACAATCACAAATTATGATTTCCATAAGTCCAAATGGTTTTCTTGCAATAAGAAAAGTAGAAGGACCAATTATGAAATTTAGAAAACGGAATATTCCAAGAATATTCTGTCAACTTTAACGCAATGCACATAACAATAAATTTAAGTGGTACCGGATGCACATATAATAGAGTTCAGTGGTACCCGACGCCCTATTCAAACTTAAGTGGTATGTTTACCCAATTCTCAAACTTAAGTGGTAGCCGAGGTATTTTAGAGGGTTACTATTTGCTGCCCGTAAAAAACACTAGAAAAAGAATTTTGCCCTCCAAATTTTTCTTTATATTTTATTCGCTGAAATGGTTTTTTAAACAACATACACACCACCCGTGACCGACCTCCTCCTGGATTTTTTTGCCCGTCCGCTCGCCGGCGTCGGGCCCCATCCGCCCGCCGGCGTCGGACCTCGTCCGCTCGCCAGCCACGGACCCCGTCCGACGCCGGCGAGCGGACGGCGCCCGACGCCTACAAGCGGACGGCGATAGGGCAGTGTTTTTTTTTTGAATTTGAGACATATTATTAATTCTAGAGCTAATAATTTATATTTAATTTATTGCTTTTATTTCTATTTTACATAGTTAAATTCATATGTAGTTTGAATTAAGAGATTGTATTTTGTTGTAGCGCTAATTAGTTTCTTACCATCAAATTATCGTTATTTTTTAGAGTTAATTAAATTATTGCATTTAGCTTAATTTTTTAGAGTCAATTGAAGCACAATTAGTTTAATTCGTAGAGCTAAAGAAGTTTAATAATTTATATTTAAATAATTTTCTTACCGTCAAATTATTGTTATTTTTTAGAGTTAATTAAATTATTGCATTTAGTTTAATTTTGTAGAGTCAATTGAAGCAAAATTAGTTTAATTCGTAGAGCTAATGAAGTTTAATAATTTATATTTAAATAATTTTCTTACCGTCAAATTATCATTATTTTTTAGAGTTAATTAAATTATTGCATTTAGTTTAATTTTGTAGAGTCAATTGAAGCACAATTAGTTTAATTTGTATAGCTAAAGAAGTTTAATAATTTATATTTAAATAAACTTCTTTACCGTCAAATAATCGTTATTTTCTAGAGTTAATTAAATTATTGCATTTAGTTTAATTTTGTAGAGTCAATTGAAGCACAATTAGTTTAATTCGTAGAGCTAAAGAATTTTAATAATTTATATTTAAAATAATTTTCTTACCGTCAAATTATCGTTATTTTTTAGAGTTAATTAAATTATTGCGAGTGCCTAATGTACCACCCCATGTAATCCTCAGCAACCTCCCATGGCTTACGTCGTACCGGAGTAGAATAAAGGTCCAGATGCACACTATGTGCCCCCAAGTTGTTCCAGCACGAATCATAAACAGATTGGTAGCTAAGAGAGTATCCAAGCGTGGAAGCAGGTCGACGCACAACAAGCGGACGCTCCGGGGGATACGGTACACTCTGCCCGTAGCCTAACTGTCGGAGGCACCTAGTGGGATCATATGGCTCTACTATCTCTGCAAATCTGAGCAGGCCCTGATACAAGGTACGTCTCACCGTCAGATGAGGACTCTGACCATACGGAGTCCAACAAACTGAGTGAGGGGTCAAACAATCAATCGCATGCCGATAATAAGCCAGCATCTGTGCATCCCTCTCCTTCATCGACTAGGGTGCTGTACAACGCCACCTGAATGCTCCTGCCTGCCCCTGCTCCAGCTCTCGTGGCTTCAACCGACTAGGCCTCAAAGTAGGAAAGTGGTCGTAAATCCAACACTGTAGTAAAGTCAGACAACCCGCCACTCCCTTAGCCTCCGCCCGGGAGGCAATACCAAGCTGCCTGTACAGATAAGCAAGTGCTCCTGCCCCCACGCATACTCTCCTAGCATATCCGGCCTCTTCACAACAAGTTGACAACAGTAGAAACGCGGTCCTTACTCATATCTACGAACAGTGTGGACCCAAGCAGCAAAAGAAGGTAACACTGAGCCTCTCTAGCTGGCGGACCAGACTGCTGCAAATGAGTCAAAGCTCCCACACCCAACAAACCAAATCCTCTGTACCACCTAGACAAACTGGCAACCTCGCCAACCTGCGACCCGTACTCAGAATCATCACGATCTAATCCCAGTAGTGCTTGGATGTCAGTCTCCAGTGCACACTTTTCCAACTGCCTCGGATCCACTACCATCGCCTCTCCCTCAACTGCAAGCCCAAGAATGTGTGCCACATTGTGAAGGAGGATCGTCATCTCTCCAAACGGCATGTGGAAGGTGTTGGTATCCGGCTGCCACCTCTCCACAAATGCCGAGATGAGAGCAGGGTCCAGCTCGCTCCAGAAGGTGATATCAACGAGGTGAGCAAGGCCCGATGTCTCTACGATAGTCCTAGCATTATCATCTGCTATCACATAACCGTCGAGAACGTGGCGAAGGGTCGAACTCCTATCGTAGCAAGTGATCACCCCTCTATTAGCCTGTCTAGTGTACAGGCGGTGGGCAACATGCCCAAGAAAGCTACGGAGCAAACTCGGGTCGCTCGGCCCTCCAGGACATGGTCCTCTAGGCTCCCAGGCCTCTCCCACATCAGCAGTACCACTCTGGCCCTCACTAGGCTGTGGAGCTCTATAGAAACGCCCTGCATGGTCTCTATAGATCCCAGTAACAGCATGAACCCCAGTAACGACATGTGACGATCCGCTGGGGGCACCTCTGTCTCTGATCGGACTGACTGGTGGAATGCGATACTCAACAGCATCCGAATCATACTCCTCTGACTCGTCATCAATCTCATCTGAAGGCTCAAACGGTGAAGCATGATCACGACTGGGACCAGCTCCACTACCAGCCCTACTAGGCATCTGAAAATCAAACTGAGGAAAACCGTCAGCCCTCAAACTCATCGGTGTCACTAGTCGTTGTGGCTGTGGCTCATCTCTATCATTTGGGTCCCTATTTCTCGCACTAGTGCTAATGGGGCGTCCAATGAATCTTCTCAATCTCTTTCCAGCTCCTCGAGAACTACGTGATCCTCCATAATTACCAGGTGACGCCATCTCTAAACATAGTCAATAATCTTCTATTAATATCTTATAATAAATTATTTATTGAGCAATTACTTGTTGTTTCATAGAGTAATTATGATACATACATAATTGTTATCCAATTAATTTAACTAGATAGTTATTTTACTTAATACGATAGGTAGTTATTTAAATTTTTATTTCAACTTACTCAATTACTTAACTAAAACATCATAGATTATTATTTAAAATTAAAAATTATTTAAAAATTATTTAGTCCAATAATTATTTAGATAATTATTATAATAAATTATATATTAGCATAGTCAATAATTATTTATTAATCTCTTATAATAAATTATTTGATTAGCAATTTGTTCATAGACATAATTTATCAATTACTAATTATGATACATACAACTTGGTTATCCAATCAATTTATAATAAATTATTTTATTAGCAATTTGTTCATAGTCATATTTATCAATTACTAATTATGATACGTACAACTAGTTTATCTAATCAATTTAACTAGATAGTTACTTTACTCAATACGATAGATAGTTATTTAAATAATTATTTCAACTTATTATATACTAATTATATAATTAAAAATTATATACTAATGATATAATTAACAATTATATACTAATTATATAACTATCAATATTAAACTAATTAAGATACTAACAATTGTATTTAAAATAAATCTAATAAATATTTATTTAAACGAATCAGAAACCCAATCAGAACGGTCCGACCAGACTGGGCGGACGGGGTCCGAACAGACCGGGCGGACAGGGTCCGACCATACCTGGCAGACCGCGTCCGCTCCGGCGTGTCGGACGGCGACTAGAAGAAAAAAAAAATACCTGCGGCGGCAGCTTCTCGGCTCGGCGGCGGCTTCTGGGCAATGGTCGGCAATGGCGGCGGTTGGCTTCGAGTGTGCGGCGACATGAGTTTTGGGCAGCGGCGGCAGCTGGCTTCCGGGCAGCGGCGGAAGGAGTTTTGGGCAGCGGCGGCGGGCTTCTGGGCAGCAGCAGGAGGGAGGTTTGGGCAGCGGCGGGAGGAGTTCTGGGCGGCGGGCTTCTCGTCGACAGCAGGGGGGCGGCAGAGGTGGCTGGCCGGCGGGCTGCTCGGCGGTGGCGGAGGTGGCTGCTCGGCGGCGCTGGAGGTGGCTGGTTGGCTGGCTTCTCTGGGCAGCAGCTGGTGAGCGTTTTGGGAGGTGAAGGTTTGGAGGTGAAGGGTTAGGTTGTGATAGGTTTAAGGTTTTAAAATGAGACGGGGGCAATTTCGTCATATTTTTCCTAACTACGGGCGGCAAATAGCGATCCATGTATTTTACCCACAAAAATGATGGTGCAAAATAAATTGCATCCTCTTCTTTTTTTTTTTAAAGAAATTCTGGAAAATAATAAGTACATATCGAAATCGGCCAAATTAAAAAATAATATATGCTGGTCAATAGATATTGTGATGAGGTCACTAAGACCAAGACCACTACTAGGGGTGTACATGGGTCGGGTGGTTCGGGTTTAACCATTTTAATCACCCGACCCATACACTACGGTTTGAGAAATATTAAACCCAAACCCAACCAAAAAAATTTAAACCCTACGGTTTGTTTCTAATTGGGTTGGGTCAGGTTGGCGATATTTTTAAGTAAAAATCCAACCCAACACAAAATATGTAATTATTCTACAACATAAAAATATTTTATAAATAACTAAATTTCAAATGAATAAACCGAGGTGAAAGGCATCAAATTTCACAAATGTTGTTTCATTTTTAATAAAATGTGATTTACTTCAACATATGTCTAGTTTTTTTCACGATATTTGTTAAAATAGGCTAAAAAGGTTATAAACGAATGCACCCATAACATGTTATTCTATTAAAATTGTACACAAGAAAAAGGATTACGTGAATCATATCTATATTAAATTAGGGAGACCATGAGAAAAAAACATGGTGAAATATCTTAATTTCAGCATAAGTATGGTTATATATGACATAAATATTTTTGGATACGAACTCCTACCAATAGTTGGAACACGGGTTGGGTCGGGTTCTACGGGTTGTGTAATCCAAAATCCAAACCCAACCCAATAGAGGCGGGTTGTACAAAAGAAAACTCTCACCCAACCCGAAACCTTCGTTTTAGCGATAAATACGGGTGGGTTGGGTCGGGTTGGACGGGTGGGTGGGTTTACGGGTGTGTTTGTTCACCCCTAACCACTACAATAGAAAAAGGACCACTTACACATTTAAGGACCAAGAAGGTAAGAGATCAGTTTGCAAATTACCGGATTCGTTACTATGATGGTATGGATGTGAATTAGGGGTGAAAATCGGTACGATATCGGTATCCCAATATCAAATACCAAAATCTCGAATACCGAATTACACCCTAAAATCAATCTCAATCTCATTCCCTAAATAATTTTTGTATCCCATTCCCAATCTCTAAATATTTCGGTATCCCAATTGGTACTTCGGTATCTCAATCGGTATTATCGAATACAAAATTAACTACCTTTGCAATAAATAATTAAATATATAAATTAGATTTGATTGTTTAATTTAGGTCAAAGAGACTAAGCGAAGAGTCTTGAGTTTGCTTAGAGCTAGGATATGGATAAGGAGAATAAAGAAGAGGTGACATCTCAAATTCTTGTCATTTGTAATGTTTAATTTGACAAATCGGAGGTTGAGAGACGACTAATAATAGTATTTGCTTTTAGGTGTTATGAAAATAACAAGAGATTAGGTGAGAGATGAGAGTGACTTAAACTGGAAAGTCAAAATTGAGTTGGATGGGGGTTTCTAAGTTGTGAAAGAGTGAGGAATGACCAAAGGTTGTGTGCTATATTTTATTAATTTTTAATTTTTGGTATTTCTCGGTATTTCGGTGGATATACGCAAAGGGAGGCCCCTGATGGTGTTGCAATACATAAAAGAAGACAGGCTTGGAGGAAGGTGGCGACAATGGGAAGAAGAAGGGACTTTTGAGAAGTCCTTAGTCCAAGAGGAATTCCATTTACTTAGCCTAGAAGGAATGAGAGGCTGATAAAATTCATTAAGGATTAGGGCTATGTAATGGGCGGATTTACTTGTTACTAAGATAAGCTTAGTTTGGCCCTGCGGTAGCTTTTGCAGAAGCAGCTTTTGGCGGGAGCTTTTAGATAAGTACTTTTCAAAAAAAGCAGTTGAGTCTTTGGCTGTAAAACTATTAGAAGTGCTTTTTAATATGAAAGATTGTGTAAATGAATATAAAGGACTTATAATATAAAATATGAATAAAAATTCTAAACAATAAAAAGTAAACAAAATGGATCTTGTTAGATTTCTTTTATATTAAATAATATGATTGTATAATTTATTTAATTTTTAAATTGATATAAATGAAGGAAAATTATATTTTCTGAAATAAAATTAAAATATGGTAAGGATAATCTTGTATTTTCAAAACAGCTTTTTACAGAAACTCCAAATCGGGGCTTTTGCTTTAATGTTATACAAAAGCGCTTTTCGGCTTTTCAAAAGCCGAGCTTTTACATGTGTTTGGCCCTGCTTCAGCTTTTGAAGTCTAAAAGCACTTTTAAAAGCAGGGCCAAACATAGGGATAGTTTGGCCCCCTCTTATTCTTTAGATCTCTTCTCCCGTTCTTTTATCAAATATTATACTATTTCCCGGGAATTCGGGGTCATCATATAATTCAGAAAACACAAGGATTATTTGTTACTTGTTGATTAAGTTTTTGCTTTCTATCTTAGTTTTGGATTTGTGTTTTAAAGCCTATTTAAAGGGCCGAGTTTCATTGTAATGCATCATCAAATTTTTATCAATCAAATAGTGAGTTTATCTCGTGTTTCATAGCAAAATTTTTGCAAGCTTTTTATCGAGGAGTCTAGGAGGTAGTAAGTCTCTTATCAGCTAGAAGATCACATCTAGTTGTGGCGAGTTCTACCCTATACCGATTGCCCTTTTCACGAGTTTGAATTTTCTGATTGATTATATAACAATCGCCCCTTTCCACGAGTTAGAATTGTAAGATTGGTGTCGCTATTTATCCTTTATTTCGATTCGAGTCTTGAGAAGATAATCAGAAAAACAAGAAAATTGAAGTTGACTACATACTTTGATCATATCAAGTGGTAGGAAGTAGTAGAACTCATGTCCATCCAACCTCTTCAATATCTGGTCAATGAAACGGAGCGGGAAGTGGTCCTTCCTATAAGCATCGTTTAGACTCTGGTAGTCAATGCATACACGCCAGAGTCACCGTCCGCATCGGGATCATCTCGTTCTTCTCGTTCAGGACCACAGTCATCCCGCCTTTATTCTGAACCACTTGAGTGGGGCTGACCCACTTGCTACCAGATATAGCAAAGATAATCCCAGCATCCATCAACTTCACAATCTTGGCCCGGACCACTGTCTCCAAGTTAGGAGTCAACCTCCGATGCGGCTGCCAGACTAGCTTAACCTCATCCTCTATCAGAATTATGTGGGAGTAGAAGGATGGGCTAATGCCTCTGATATCCGTGATCTTCCATGTCATGGCTCGAGCGTAAATTTTCAACAGAGCCACCAGACTACTCTTTTGCTCAGGGTTCAGTTCCGAGATGATAATCACTGAGAGCTTCTTCCCCTCCCGGAGATATGCATACTCCAGATGAGAAGGGAGGGGCTTAAGCTCAAGCTCTGGTGGTCCTCCAATGATGTAGCGATCCGGGGCGAGACGTGGATCGACTTGAATGGCTTCTCTTGCCACTCGATTTCTATGCCTTCCAACTCCAGGAGCTTCCCCCGCCCAAAAGACAACACTCGAGGAAATCATTAGTATCCGCACTTGCGATGACGTGTACGGTCTCATAATCAGCAACCACATCACAATAGTCCAAACCATCATGGAGCTGGGGGTGTTTCATATTATCAGAAACAGGAAAGGTTATTTGTCACCCCCAGCCCGCAAAATCTAACTTGCCATCATTCACATCAATGAGTGCCTTGGCGGTGGCAAGAAAAGTTCGACCCAAAATCAAAGGCACCTCGACATCCTGATTTATATTAAGAATAACAAAATCAACAGGATATGCAAGTGGCCCTTCAGTAACTATCAGATCCTCTGCAATGCCCATAGGATGCACAATAGATCGATCAGCTAACTGTATGCTCATCCTAGTGTTACTGGGTTCACCGAGGCCTAGCTTCTTTAACAGTTTATATGGCATGAGTCATGACGTATGCTAGCATCTAAATCTGCCAAGGGCTTTCCTACATGCAAGCGACCTATAATTCAAGGGATAATGAAACTCCCTGGGTCTTTGCGCTTCTCTGGTAGCTTGTTCTGCAGGATGGCAGAACACTCCTCATTCAGCATTACCGTCGAGAGCTCTCCAAGCTTCCTCTTGTTAGTGAGGAGATCCTTCATGAACTTCACATACTTGGGCATCTTCGACAACGCCTCCATGAAAGGCATGCTGATATTCACCTCCTTCAGCATTGCCATAAATTTGACAAACTCAGTCTCCAGCCGGTCTTTGTGCATCCAAGTGGGGAAGAGAAGTTGAGGGACATACTCCTCACCACTCATTTTGGCTTAGGAGCATACCTCGACCTCCTTCTCCATTTCTTCCTCATTTGTTGGAAGTACTGAAGCAAGTCTTTCTTCCTCCTGGCCTTGACAGGTATATCTGTGGTCACATTTCCGCTCCTGGTGGTAATGGCACTGCAATGGGCATTGGGTCCCTGGGTCTCTGGGATTAGGATTGGTATGACACAGTAAGGTACCCGGAGCCCGCTGTGCCACGAATTTGTGGAGACTTCCAAGCTGGAGCTGGATGTCTAGTAGATAGCCTGTGTATTCCTCTGACCGGCTTCAAGATCTAGAAACCGTCCAGAGGCCTTCTCCATGAATCGGTCCATATTGCCAAATTTATGAGCGCTGTTGTTGGCAAGGTCTGCCATGATGTCGCACAGCTCGGCCATTGAATTACTCTATACTGGGGATTGTAGGGGTTGCGCTCGGCTCCTGAAACGACCTCGACTGCGGTTGAGAGAGAGAGCTTCCCCTTGTCTGCACGGATATAGATACTATTGCTGCAGGAACTACCCATGTCTGGGCTGGTAGGCGATCTATGGTGTAACATCCTACCCTTGTACATTTTTCCTGGTCATATTGTTCACACAATTGCAGCGGAATTTAAAACTGGTGTTACATTAATTACCAAATATCAACCAATAAAATTTCGACATGAATTACTCGCGTAATGGGCTAACAGTTTTTGCAACTAGACCTGCAAATAAATTCATCCGAATCCCTGCATTCATAGACATACATATATACTCACAACCATATATATTGGCTTTCATAGACATAGTCACACTTTCGTACTCTGCAACCACATACC